CCAGCCGCCTCCACCCCCAGCCCTGGGCTTCCCCTGGCCACAGCCCTGCCCTGCCATGGCACCTCTTTACATACACTGCATCTTTAATCCTCACCGCCATCCTGGTGCTTCCCCGCTGGCAGCTGAGACAACAGAGGCAAAGGGAAGGTTAGGCACTCGTCCAAGGTCACAGCTGAGGGCCAGCAGGACCAGGATGCAATCCAGGTCCAGAGCCAGGACACCAGCTGGCCCACGGAGACCACCGCTGGCTCCCTAGCACCCAGCACCGTGACCCACGCCTAACGGCCCCGCGGCAAATGCATGCTGAGCGCATGCAGGAGCCGTCCTCAAGCAATTACATCCCACACCTGCTGAGCTGGGCGGGGGCCCTCTGGCTACAGAGTCCCACACAGCGGCCCACGCTCCCCCCACGGCCTTCTCCAAGGCCCTCCCAAGCTGGGCATTCCCATAAAGGCTAAGGTCAATCTCCCTCCAGGGGGCAGGGTGTGGCTCAGTCTTCCTGGTCAGTCCCTCCCCCACGGAGCTGCGGACTCTGCAGACAGGGGAGTCGTCAGACTCCGTGAGGCCACCTCCACAGAGGAATGGAAGACCAGGTCCCGCCAGCTCCCCCTCCCCTCTGCATCCTGGCTTCCTGGAATTGCACCCTGGGTACCCCCCTGCCTCCCCTCCACCCCTCAGCACTTCCTGCCCCGCTTTCCCACAGCCCTGAGCACCCTGCGTGTGTCATACCTGGTGATGGAAAATGTCTCTGAGCAAACCGGCAAGGGGATGTCCCAGGCTGTCTCAGGGCCAGGCTGCGGCTGCTGGCGCTGAGCTCAAGTGTAATCAACAACCCGCCCCTCGTCCTCCGTGACAGCGGCCATAAGACAGTAGGATGTAGGGTGAGAGCTCAGGGTTCCAGTCCTCCCCACTGGTCCCTAGACTCACTGTGTGTCCACCCCCGAGGGCTGCCTGTCTGCATCGGGGATGCAGGACTCAGAATCTCCCTCATTCTTGTCCTGCTAGGGCTCCGAGCGGTTTTATGAACTTGCCGTGTGAGTGCTGAAGACTGCCCGCGTTCAAATCCTTGTGCTACTGTGTTCTAGCAGTGTTGCCTTGCACGGGCCATCACCACTCTGTGCCTTAGCGTTCTCCTGTGTATAATGGAGTAGGAATGTTCCCTCTCCTCTCTGACATCATTGTGATTAGTTAGAGACAATGCTTGGACCAGAGCCTGATGCTCACTGAGTGCTCCTCTGCAAGTACAGTGCTCCCCCCCCACCCCCCTTCTTCCAAGGACCATCCTCAACCCACTATTTCCAAAACCAGCTGCACCCTGGCCAGCCCTCTGACTGAAGCTCAGATCAGCCTCCCACCTCCTCCTCCAAGTCAGAGGGCTCCTCCAGCGTCTCTCACGCCTGGGCTCTCTGAACAAAGGCTGCTGCTCCTGGGTCTGTTCGGCCTTCTGCTATGACGGTTATTACCTCTCTGTAGCCCCGGGATCTACACCAGGTCTGACCCGCAGCATCACAGATGGTTCTGAGAGAGGGAATTCAGAAGGTGACAGTAGCAGGCGGTAATCAGCCCTACTTAGGACGAATCAGAGGCTGCCCAGAAGTGGAGATGCTGGAGTGGGGTCCCGAGGGATGTGTAGGAGTGGGAGTAGATGGTTTGGGTGTGAAGATTAATTCAAACCCAAGGACAAACAGATGCCAAGAGTCCTTTGAGGCCCTGGCCCTCAGCCCTCGCCTTCCACTCTTGAAGTGAAATGCATGTAGTTCGGCCACAAGCCACATTCCATGTAGCACCTGAAACCACAGAATACCAGGGCTGAGAGAGCATTTAGAAACCATCAATTTAAACAAACAAACAAAAGAAAAGGAAAGAAAGAAAGAAAGCAAAAGAAATAATCCAATTGACTACCCCATTCACAGATGGGGAGACTGAGGCATGAGAGCAGATGCAACCCATCAAGTCATGGACTAAGACAGTGGTCGGCAAACTCATTCATCAACAGAGCCAAATATCAATAGGACAATGACTGAAATTTCTTTTCAGAGCCACATTTTTTAAACTTGAACTTCTTCTAACACCACTTCTTCAAAAAATAGACTCACTCAGGCCGTGGTATTTTGTAGAAGAGCCACACTCAAGGGGCCAAAGAGCCGCACCTGGCTCGCGAGCCACAGTTTGCCGACCACGGGACTAAGACATTGAGGAGCTCAACCCCTGTCCTGAAGATATCAGGGAGTCCATAGGGGCTTCGGCAGGTGTGGCCTGGCCAGATGCAAGCCAGAGCAAGCCCACCCTGGCAGGGCTCAGAGGTGGAGGGTTAGAGGGTCAGGTGACTGAGGAGGCCGAGCCGGGATCCGAACAAGAGAGGGGGGAGGCTGCCAGGTCACAGGTGAGGACGGTTTTGGCCACAGTCACAATCATGGCACGTGTGGAATGTGGGCTGTTGTTTTTGGTTGCCAGTAAGATTAGAATGGAATTTTGCTTGTTATGTTTTGTATTGCGTTGCTTTTTTTCACGAATGTAACTGTTTCCCATGCAGCCTTATAGATGCAAAGGACCACGAGTTCTGTCGCCCCACGCACCTGAGTTTGCATCTGGGCTGCACCAGCTGCACTATTTTATTATTTTTTTTACAGAGAGGAAGGGAGAGAGAGGTATAGTTAGAAACACCGATCAGCTGCCTCCTGCACACACACCCCTGGGGATGTGTCCACAACCTGACCGGAATTGAACCCGGGACCTCTCAGTCTGCAGGCAGACGCTCTGTCCACTGAGCCAAAGTAGTTTCGGCCAGCTGCACTTCTTAACCTCCCGAGCCTCAGTTTCCCAGGTGATGAGAGATATGCTTGAGACATGCTTCAGACCGTGTCTGAAACATAAATATTAGCTTCTCATTCCTTTCTAAAGTGCTTCTTGACTGTCGTCGGAGTAATCTGGAATGTCAGTCATTAGACAGTGGGAGGTGTGTTCTCCTAGTCACGGTCTGTTTCCGCAGTTTTCTTGGTAACCGTGGGCCTGGAAGTCGCTTGGAGTGGGAGCAGGGAGGTGTGGAGGCGGCGGGGGTGGGGGGTGGGGGGCTGGGGGAACAAATACAGCTCGAGAAATAGGAAACCTGAGAAGCTGAAAGGACCTCCCGCCTCTCCTCCCTTTTCTCTTATCCCTCCATCTGCCTCCTGCTCTCCACTCTGCACCTGACGGACCCCAGATCCCGGGGCCCTCGGCTGCCTGGTCCCCAGCTGGTGCTGCTTCTCTGCCCTGCAATCTGACCCGGGCGGGCCTGTCTCTCCTTGACTCTGTCCACCCCCGCCAGTTGCTCCGTCCTTGTTCCAGCTCCCAAGGCCACCCTCTAATCCACTCCGGACCATCAGGCCATAGCCACCTGCTGTGAGGCGGCCCGTCTCTGCTCAGCGCTCTCGTTGGAAATGGCGGAGACAGCTGGGTCCCCTGCACCCACCTGCTCACAGCGCCCTCTCAGCTTTCCGGCTGTCATCGTCTCAGCCCATCCTCCTGCCTGGGAAACCCGAGTCTGCAAAAACAGGAGCTTCTGTTGTGGAAGGAGTCTGAGGGATTACCTGCCTGGTCAGAGATGTCACCAGGTGCCTGCTGTGATCAGTTGGGGCCTGCCTACAGAAGGGGCACCGAGGCTCCGGAGGACCAGGATCTATTAGCGAGGTCTGCCGTGCACGGGTGCAATCCATTAGCCATGTCTGTCATGGGTGCAGTTTTATGGATGGCAGACATGACTCCCATGATCAGATTCAAGGGCACTGAAAATAAATAAACTTCCCCAGCATCATCTCTCATTACCTGTGAGGCAGGTGTCATGCTCCAAGGCTTTAGATTGGGAAACTGAGGCTCAGGGAGGTTAGGATGTGCAGCTGGCGGATGGCACAGCCAAGATTCATACAAGTCATGAGACCATGTGAGGGGACGCCCGGTCCCCTGCAGGATAAATCTGACTCCTCTACAATCCTTTTGCTTTTCCTCACGAAGGAAGGCTGTTTGGTGCTTGGATATCTCTAACAGCTTTTCCACACTTAGTAATCTCCCCTTTATTATTTGCATTTCTTATTTATTGACGAGAGAGAGAGAGAGAGAGAGAGAGAGAGAGAGAGAGAGAGAGAGATCAACTTGTCGTTCCACTTATTTATGCATTCTTTGGCTGCTGCTTGTATGTGCCCTGATGGGGGATCGAACCCTCAACCTTGCCAACGGAGCAGATTTCTAGCAGGCAATAAATTAAAACATTTTTGTTGTATTTAATTTTTACAGTTACCTTAAAAAAATTTTTTTTGTTGATTAAGGTATAACATATTTGTCCTCAACCCCCCATTCCAATCTCCCACTCCCCCCCACTCATGCCCCCCTCCCCATTGTCCTCGACCACTGGTTAGGCTCATATGTGTGCACACAAGTCCTTTGGTTGATCTCTCCCTTTTATCCCCACCCTCCCTCTGAGGTCCAACAGTCTGACCCATGGCTCCTTATCTCTGGGTCTGTTCTTGTTCATCAGTCTATGTTGTTCACCATTTCCCCTACATGAGTGAGATCATGTCCTACTGGAAATATAAGAATCAAAAATGAGACGAGCAATAATCGTTATGCTGAAAGGTATATGAATCAGTTTGTAGAGTTTCTTTCTGGGTCACCAGTTCTTTTGAGACCCAATTTCAATGTCAAACAGTTCCTTATGTGTACGTGTCAGCAATTATATTTCAGTTCTAGATGGCGGGCAAATGGTGGTTACAGTTACTTTTTATTTATAGTGAATATCAGTTTTCCATTTCCTGAAGCAATATAAAGATTTTCCTTTCACCCTAACCGATGTGGCTCAGTGGATAGAGCGTCGGCCTGTGGACTAAAGGGCCCCAGGTTCGATTCCGGTCAAGGGCATGTACGTTGGCTGCGGGCACATCCCCAGTAGGGGGTGTGCAGGAGGCAGCTGATGGATGATTCTGCCTCATCGATGTTTCTAGTTGTCTATCCCTCTCTCTTCCTCTCTGTAAAAAATCAATAAAAATATATAACAACAAAAAACAAACAGAATAAAAATATAAAAATCAAAAAGTCCAGGCCTTTGCAAGTCTCCAAGTCAAGGAAGGAGATTGTGAAAGACATCACAGGTGTGGCTGGTGCTGAGGACAGAGGGATAAGAAGGGGAAGGGTGATGGGGAGCCCTGAGGAGGAGGTGGGAGGGGGAGGACTGCCTTGTGAGGGGATGAGCATCCTGGAGTGGGCATGCTGGAACCAGCGGGCAGGGGGCTTCCTCTCTCTGAGTCCTGGCCTCAGAAGGGTCAAGGTGCCCAGGGTGCTGCTGGGAGGTGGGTGGCACCCCGTGCGAGAAGGCAGCTGGGTGCGGGAAGCCCAGGCCAGGTGGTGCCCGACAGTTCGTTAATTCATCTGGGGAACACTATGAGGTGCCAAGGGCACTGGGTCAAGTGCAGTGAACGGAGCTGCCCTTGGAGGTGTGCCAGCCCCTGGGCTGCCGAAGAGACCCCTGCAGTGGAGGGCGGAGGAGGATCGAACCCTCAACCTTGTGTGGCTCAGGAAGGGTCTCTTTCCAGCAGCATGCCTTAGAGCTCTGTGGGAGGACCCAGCCGGTGTCCACGTCGCTGGGGGATTTGTGTCCATACTTGGGCCACAGCCTTAAAGACGCAGTAGCCAAGCTTTTTGAGGTAAATTGAGATCCCAAAGGGAAATGACGGGGCCTCTTCATCAGCCGCCCTGCGGCCCCAAGAACTCCAGCACTGAATCTCAAGGTCCAGGCTGGTTAATGGAGGCGGTGTTTTCCTCCAGGAGAAGCTGACCCACGCTGGAAGGGTAAGGGGAGCTAGTCACCTCGATGAGAAAGGAGAGGGCTCAGAGAAGGGCATGGGCAGAGGTGTGGGGGCCTGAGGGAGCTCCACGGCTCAGGAGGACCGTTGAGAGGGTTCTAGAAGGGAACGGCCAATGTGGTGCTGGAGGGGCCAGGGCCAGGCCAGGAAGTGGGAGGAGGACAGAGGGCAACAGGGACCGCAAGGCCGGGTCTGTGTGTTGGAAGGAGTGCTCCAGCTGCCCCAGGAGGATGGGCGAGAGGGGGTGAGGCCGAAAGGAGGCCCTGCAGACCCCGGGAGACATGAGCACGCGCCTCGAGGGGCGGCTGCAGGCTGGAAGGTAAATCGATGCTTCAGAGATCAAGTCCAGGGTCCCGGTGACGGATGGGGGAGTCAAAGTGTCCCCTGCAGTCCCCGGCTTGGACAGTGAGTAGGGAGCAGCCGCTGAGGCTCGGAGCCGAACGGCTGAGTGCGCGGGGCCTGGTGGGGCCCTCTGAGCAAAGATGCCCGAGGGGCAGCTGGACACCGCGGAGCTCAGCGGCGGGCCGGCCTCGAAGGCAGAGTCTCTTTGAGTGCTTTCTCCCTGCAGCCTGTTCCAGGAGCCTCCTCCTTCGCTCCCTGAGTTCAAATGCCCAAGACTGAGAGAAATCTGATTGGCCAGCGCAGGCCCGGCCTCTGTGATTGGACAGAGCTTCTCCTCTGAAGCACATCATAGGTTGCCAGTCACTCAATCGGTGGGCTTGTGTCAAGTGCCACATCAGCTTTAGCAGGACCTATACATACAGGCACTGGTCCAACAGCGGAGAGCCACGGCCCAGCACCCGGGCGTCCGTCTACATCAAGTACACAGGCTCCTGATCCTGGAGCTCTTGGAGGGACAGGTAGGCATCCGTGTTCAGGGGCAGACAGGAGGTGGGGGCCCTGACCTGGCACTGCCCAGGAGGGCTGGCACAGGGGAAGCCGGCCCCCTCCCCAGGGCCAGGGCCAGGGCCAGGGCCCTCCTCTCCCGCTTCTCCTGTTGCAATCTCCTGGGGTGACTGGCATCTCGCCAGGCCGGTGGCTCCCGGGGTGGGGGGCCCCAGGCGCTGGGGGGCCCAGTCTCTGGGGACTCCCTCCTGCAGAGCGGTCCCCTCCCTCTCTTCACAGGCCCCGGTGCCCCCCGGGGCAGTGTTTGGGGGGCTCGGGCCACCGAGGAGACTGGGGGAGAAGAGCAGCAGGTCCTCCCGGGGCGGGAAGGTGCAGTAGGCGTCATCCTCCCCAGGGGGAAGTGGCAGGGGCGGGAGGAGGGGCCCCTCGGGTGCTCCGGGCCCGTCCTCCTCCAGCTCCTCGGCGTAGGGGTCGTAGGTGAAGTACACCTGGCAGGCCTCGATCTCCAGCGCGTCCGGGAGGTGGAAGAAGAAGTAGCCTTGGTTGGTGAAGCAGCTGGTCAGGGAGTGGCCGCTGGTCTCCGGAGAGGGCGAGGGCCCCTTGTCCGGCCGCAGCAGGAGCAGCTGGGCGGCCTTGGCGTCCCGGTCCAGCACCTCCAGCGGAGAGATCTCGGGGGCCGGGCCGCTGGGGCTGAAGGACGACGAGGGGAAGGGCGAGGAGAGCCACTTCTGCCGGAAGACAGACCAGAGGGGTGAGTGGGATGCCCCCTCCAATGAGCCAGCCAAGGCTGCCCACCCCCGCACCCCACCTGCCTGCCCACTGGCTCGGGGACCCCTCGGGGTCAGCCCGAGGAGGTACTTGCTCCCCAGCCCCAGCCAGGCCTTCCTGGCTTCCTTCAGGTGCCCAGGGCAGTGTTGGCTCAACAAGTGACCGCTCACTGAGCACCTACGACAAGCCTAGGGCTGCCCTAGGGACAGAGGACACGGCGAGGGGTGGAACACGCGTGTTGGGTGGGGACGAGCATGTGTGTGAATCCACCGGCCAATGCTGAGGCAGAAGGGGCCGAGGGCGCGTCCTGTTCACGATACAGACTCGCCCTGGCTCTGAGCACTCCGCCAGCGGGTGGCAGAGCTGGGCACAGGGGAATCTCTCTGGTGGGAGCTAATGGTCCCCCAATTCACTTCCCCCTCCCAGTGCCCTGTGCCTCCCACCTGCCCCACCTCCACAGAGAGAAGCGTGCCCACCAGAGCACTTCCCAGTGCTGCAGTAGCCAGGGCCCTGGCCAGCAGCAGGGAGACCCGGTCCAGCCCCACTCGCTGGCTGTGTGACTGGCCGGTCCCTGCACCTCTCAGAGCCTCAGTTTCACAGCCGTTTGCTGCGTCCTCCCTGCTTCCTCCCAGGGGCCTGCAGGGAGCTGGCCAGTAAGAAAATGAAGGCGGGGCCTGGCCAGTGTGGCTCAGTGATTGAGTGTGGACCTGTGAATCAAGGGGTCACGGTTCGATTCCCCGTCAGGGCACATGCTCTGGTTGTGGGCTTGATCCCCAGTGTGAGGCGTGCAGGAGGCCTCTAGTCAATGATTCTCTCTCATCGTTGATGTTTCCATCTCTTTCTCCCTCTCCCTTCCTCTCTGACATCAATAATAAACCTATTTTTTAAAAAGGAAAATGAAGGTGGAAACAGCGGGCACAGGGTACAATCCACGCTACATAGTGTGTGTGTGTGTGTGTGTGTGGGGTCCCCCAGGGTGGTGTGAGGGGGGCCTCGGGTGCATTTGAGAACCCCAGCTCTCTGTCCTGGGGTCCCCACAGCTGGACCGTGGTCCCCAGAGCCAGGCCTGCGGGCTCCTCCCTGCACTCCTGTGCCCCCAGCACTGGGCCCGGGGCCCAGGCAATGTTTTTCAGATGAATTAATGTCCAGGAGAGAACTGTCCTGCTTCTCCTCCCCAGAGAAGTTTCTGGAGCTAAGTGGGCTGTTGTACAGACACATACACACACACACTTCACACACACACACACTTCACGCACACACACACACACTTCATACACACACACTTCACACACACACACACTTCACACACACACACTTCATACACACATGCTTCATACACATGCACTTCACATACACACTTCACAGATACACACTTCACATACACACTCCATACATACACACTTCATACACACATGCTTCATACACATGCACTTCACATACACACTTCACAGATACACACTTCACATACACACTCCATACATACACACTTCACACATACACACTTCATACACACATGCTTCATACACATGCACTTCACATACACACTTCACAGATACACACTTCACATACACACTCCATACATACACACTTCACACATACACACTTCATACACACATACACTTCATACACACACACTTCACACACACACACACTTCATACACACACTTCACATACACTCCATACACTTCATACACACACTCCATACACACACTTCACACACATTTCATACACACACTTTATACACACATACTTCATACACACACACTTTATATACACATACTTCACGCACACACACACATGTGCACTACACACACGTGCGCTTCACACACACATGTGCACGCACACACACACACGCTCTACAAAATCTACCCTCCCCCAAGCCAGAGTTTGTGTGTGGAGGAAAAGGTAAGAGGAGAAGTTAAGGATGGGTAGCCAACGAGGAGGGGGGAAAGGGAGGCCGGGCAGGTGCACAGAGGCAGCGGCGATGAGTGTGCAGCGGGAGCTGCCAGGGCCGTGGCCAGGCTGGCGTCCCAGGCTCTCTGGGTCCTGAGAAGTGTGTGTGGTCAGCCACTTCCTGGCCAGGGCCACCGTCCACATGCCCTGAAGCCCATTGGGGGGACACACAGGGGAAGCTCATCCTCCTCGTGCCCACACACACACTGGCATGCATGCCCAGGTCCTCCATGCCCTCACGCACACGCTCACATGCACGCCCAGGTCCTCCATGCCCACACACTGGCATGCACGCCCAGGTCCTCCATGCCCACGCACACACTGCATGCACGCCCAGGTCCTCTATGTCCACGCATACACTCGCATGCACAGCCAAGTCCTCCATGCCCACGCACACACTGCATGCACAGCCAGGTCCTCCATGCCCACACACACGCTCGCATGCACGCCCAGGTCCTCCATGCCCATGCACACACTGCATGCACGCCCAGGTCCTCCATGCCCACACACACTGGCATGCACGCCCAGGTCCTCCATGCCCATGCACACACTGCATGCACGGCCAGGTCCTCCATGCCCACGCACACACTGCATGCACAACCAAGTCCTCTATGCCCACGCACACACTGCATGCACAGCCAAGTCCTCCATGCCCATGCACACACTGCATGCACGCCCAGGTCCTCCATGCCCATGCACACACTGCATGCACGCCCAGGTCCTCCATGCCCATGCACACACTGCATGCACAGCCAAGTCCTCCATGCCCATGCCCACACTGCATGCATGCCCAGGTCCTCCATGCCCACGCACACGCTCGCATGCACAGCCAAGTCCTCCATGCCTGCGCACACAGTGCATGCATGCCCAGGTCCTCCATGCCCATGCACACACTGCATGCACGCCCAGGTCCTCCATGCCCATGCACACACTCGCATGCACGCCCAGGTCCTCCATGCCCATGCACACACTCGCATGCACGCCCAGGTCCTGTCCCTGGACAGAGCAATGGGTTGTGGCCTTGCAGCTGGGGGTCCCGCCATAGAGAGAAGGAGGGGCAGTTCCCCCACTCCCATGCAGAGGGGGGTCCCTCTTGGCTGCCCGACCCCCAGCCACATGGTGCATCCCCAGGGACTCCTCCTCACAGGAGGCTGGGCCGGCGCTGTAACTGGGGGTGACCTCATGGGAACATGGAGTGATCTGCAGCTCTCCACTTTACCTCTTTTCTCTCCAGGAAAGACCCCACTTTACCTCAAAATGCCTAGGCCCGTGGTCGGCAAACTCATCAGTCCACAGAGCCAAATATCAACAGGCCAACGATTGACATTTCCTTTGAGAGCCAACATTTTTAAATGTAAACTTCTTCTAATGACACTTCTTCAACATAGACTCTTCCAGGCCGTGGTATTTTGTGGAAGAGCCACACTCAGGAGGCCAAAGAGCCGCATGTGGCTCTCGAGCCGCGGTTTGCCGACCACAGGCCTAGGCCATTGAGTCAGGAAGACGTCAGGCTGGAGGAGGACTGAGCGTGCACCGAGTCCAGCCTCCAGCCTCCCCGCAGGCCCAATGCAGGAACCCCTTCAGCCGTGTTCTGCTACACAGGCAAGGCTCGCTTGCATACCTTTGCTGATGGGGAGCTCACTACCTTCAGGCCTGAAGGAGGAGCTTTCCGTGGCTACCTTCGCCCACATTGAGAGAACTGCAGGTAAGACCTCCCAGGCCCCAGGGAGTTTTCCAAAGAATTCCAGAAGGGGCCCGGGCCAGCCTGAGAGAGCACCCCCACGCCCGCTCAGGATAGCAGGTCCTGGATGGCTTTCTCGCCCCTCCTGACCTCTCTCCTCCCCCACCTCTGCCCTCCCCCCAAATCTCCGGTGCCTGCGGTAGGGGTGGCGAGGGCGGTAGAGGCAGCCCACCCCACCCTCCCCCTTCCCGCTGAAGCTTCCTTCCTGAAGTGGGTGTGAGCTGGGGGCAGGGGCGGGGAGACCACAGCTTTGGATGGAGTTCAGTCTCACTCTGGGCCAGCACGTCCCAGGTGAGTCTGAGTTTTGCGGCTGAGGTGATGCAGGACTTGGGAGCATCGGGGAGAAGTCGGGGAGCCCACAGAGCAGGGGTGCGCTGGCTCCGTGGTAAGGGGAGTACTTGTACCCACAGAGCCAGCCAGGAGGGCGTTAGGACAGACGCCGGTGGTGGGCCTCCGGCTCAGGGCTGCCATGGACAGGGGTTCGGGTTTGCCCTGGTTTGGGGGTGTGGTGGGCGTGGGGCTGAATTCCAGCCCATGCGCGGCTCGCCAAGACCTATACTCTGTCAGCAGGCTGGTGGCAGTGATGCTAGCCGCGGGCCAGGCCACATTCTCGGGGCCGCACACACATTAACACTACATCCCTCCCCGTTTTACAGACGAGGAAACGGAGGCTCAGAGATGGTCTGTCCCTTGCCCAGGGTCACACAGCCAGGACGTGGTGGAGCCGGCATCAGGACCAGGCAGTCTGGCTCCAACAGGAGGTGCCCTTCAGCCTGAGAACCGCCTCCCCGCTCTCCGGCACCACTGCCCACGCCCTTGCTGGCTGGCACCCGTCCGATCCCACCCACTCCCTCCAAACTCCTACCTGGAAATCACCTCCGTGCTCCGAGCTCAGCTGCGAAAAGAACTCCGAGGGGTCTGGGATGTGACACTTCAGAGCCTTCTTGAGCCTGAGCGGGGGCGGAGGAGAGGGGAGAGGAAGGTGAGGGGGTGGCGGGGGTGGGGGGGCAGAGGGGGTGTCACACAGGAGCGTGCAGGGCAGACGGGGAAGCCAGCGTCTTACCACGGCCCGAGGTACTGGCAGTTGACCAGCAGGTAGACTACGAAGATGAAGCCCAAGGCACCGCAGATGCCCACGAGGATGTTGCCGAGTGAAGGGGCTGCTCAGGGTGGGAGGGAAGCAGGGAGAGGGGTTCGAGAAGCACCCGCCTCACCAGATCCCTCCCGAGTCGCCCCTCCCCCAACTGGTGCTGGGCGGCGGGCCATCTCTGCCCCGGAGGCCTTCACTGCACCCCGCTGGCCCCGCCAGGCCGACAGGGGGCACCGTGTGCCTTTCTTACAGCAGCCCTGCCTCCGAATCATGGTACCCATTTTACAGATGAGGAAACTGAGGCTGAGGGGAGAACGTAGCCCACCCCCCACCACCCTGGAAGGCACCAGGCGTCTGAGGCTTCAGGATGGAGAACGTGAAAAGAGCCTCTTTTGCCAAAACCGGTTTGGCTCATCGGCCTGCGGACTGAAAGGTCCCAGGTTCGATTCCGGTCAAGGGCATGTACCTTGGTTGCGGGCACATCCCCAGTAGGGGGTGTGTAGGAGGCAGCTGATTGATGATTCTCTCTCATCGATGTTTCTCTCTATCCCTCTCTCTTCTTCTCTGTAAAAAATCAATAAAATATATATTAAAAATAAAAAGACCCTCTCCGGCCTCCCCACTAACTCACAGGCTGAGAGCACCCCCCGGGCCCTCCCCGAGTCCCCGTTCCCATCTGCGAAATGGACACAATTATGCCCCCGCCACTCACACTGCAAGGCCACATCAGGCGAGCTAAGGGTGACTGCCGAGCACTATAGCTCAGCCCCAGGCCTCCCTCCCCCGCTGTCCCAAGACCCCGCCCCTTCCCGTCCAGCCCCGTCTCACCGTCAGGCCTCCTCCCGGCCAGCGGCTGCTCTTCGGGCCTCGTCCGGAAGGCCAGGGGCCGGCTCCAGGGGCTCCAGGTCTGGAGGCTGCCCCGCTGGGCCCGGACCCGCACCTGGAGCTCGTACGGGGTGTCGGGGGCGAGCGTCTCCAGGAAGATCCACCGCTGGTTCTGCTTGAGGCTCAGCACGGAGGCCTCCTGGGCAGAGACAGGACGGTCAGCGCCAAGGGGCCCCCATGCCCACCTCCCCTCCCGAGGCAGGGCTGGCCAGGAGGCGGAGCAAAGTAGGGAAAGTCACTCTCCCTCCCCCACCCCCACCCCGTCCTCCCCAAAGACTTCCTCTCTACCCAGTTGCTGGGGCCCAAACCCCGGGGCCGTCCTAAACTAAGGTGAACAGACGTCCCACTTTTGGCCAATTTGTTCTGCGTCCCATGTCCCGCGGCGTTTTAAAAAGCGGGACGCGGGACAAATTGTTTAAAATCGGACTGTCCCGCCAAAAGCAGGACGTATGGTCACCTTATCTTAAACCCCTCCCTCTCACTCATCGCCTCCAACCAAAGCCATGTGCCAATCCACTGGTCCCACCTCCAGGACCTATGGGGACCCTTCCTCTCCTCCCCTCTCTCCCTGCCCCAGGCCAAGCTCCCACCACCTCTCAGGCCTGAGGCTGGTCGCCCTGCCACCACCACCACCACCATCACCACCACCGCGTTCACAGACCTCTCCCACCCTGCATCCTCTCTTTGACTTTTCCCGGCCCCCCCACTGCCAGGCGGTGTTTGCCTTTGCAGCAGTGGCTGCTTCCTCTGTTGGGAAAACCAGCCCCAGACCCCTGCAGGGCCAGCTCCTCCTGCACCTCGTCTCTCAGACCAGCCTCTCCTGGTCCCAGTCCCTCTTGGAAGGGTCATTGCGTGTCATTTTCTTGGTAACTTTTATCAATATCCCGCACTCTTCTGTTTCCATGTTTGCTGACGGCCTGCCTCCCTCCCCCCACCCCCCCCCCCCACACACATACATGTGAGTTTCCTGAGAGCGGGAAGCTTGCCAGCCTGGCCCCCACTCTCTCCCCAGCACCCAACAGAGTAGGCATTCAGGAAATGTTTGCTGAGTGACTGAGTGAGGGAATAAGAGTGATGGATGAATAAGTGCAGACCCCTGTGGCCCGGGCTCAGCTGGATCGGAAGAGCGGAGAGGGGGCGGCCCAGGGCCTCTGAGATCTCAGAGGGAAGGTGCCTGGCTCTGGGCTGTGTAATCTCCCCTGGGGCCAGCCTGGAACCTGCCACCCGCTGGAGCCCCTGGGCTGTCGGGGTCGCAGGGAGGGAGGGAGGGAAGGAAGAGGCCGGAGCAGGCCGTACAGAGGAGCGGCAGGGCTGCCTGGGGCTGTCCCGCCTTTGCAGAGATGGAGGACAGACAGGGTGAGCAGCATAGGAATCGGGGCAGGCCAGGCCAGGCCCTGTACTCACCTCCCAACTGTGGTCCAGGGACCTCGTTCGGACCTCAAACTCCAGGTAGCTGGTGATGTAGTGGGAGGCCTGGGGGGCGTCCCAGGTTATGTTGCATGTGCTGCTCCCCTCCTGGACAACTTGGAGGGAGTCCGGGGCCATCAGGCGGACTGGAGGGGAGGAACGGGGACAGCAGGCGTGGGGGATGCTGGATCGTGACGCTGAGAGGGTGAAGCTGACAGGCACTCCCGCTTCCACCTCTGCACCTGCTGCTCCTCCCTCCTGGGGCGCCACCCGCCTGCCTACCCCCCTCACCTCCTTCATGTCTTCCGAGCACTGTCCCCACCTGACATATGGAATCCCTGTTTTGGGTTCCTCGTGTTCTGTCTCCCTTGTGAGCCTGCTGAGGGCAGGGACCCGTTCTCTCATGTGTCTCTGGTGCCTGAAACTTCACCTGGCGCGTAGTAGGCGCTTTATTGTCTTCCGAATGGAGGACTCAGGGCAGCCTTCCTCTGCGCTCAGAAACGAGCTAAGCAGTTTAACCGGATCGTCTCATTCATGCAATTTAATTATCCCGATAATCTGCTATGATTGCAAGGTTTTATGGCTCTGAGGTTAAATTGATCTGACTTCTATAATCCTGAGACTTCGTAGAACGCCACGAACAACGATAAGGGTATGTGCATCACATGTGTCAAACACAAGGCCCGTGGGCCAAATCCGTCCCGCCAGGCCTTGCAATGTGGCCCGCACCGCGCTGTCATCACTGCACTCCGCTGCGTTTCCATCACAATGACAGTTTATGACTGTTCAGTAAACCATTGGGCCCGCGATTTAGGCTGGATTTTAGATTTTGGCCCCTTCTCTGATTGAGTTTGACACCCCTAAGCTAAACAGTGTGAGTCGTGGCTTAGAGACTCCTTACAATGAGCATGTGCAGCAGGTAACCGACTGTCCCCATTTTACAGATGAGGAAACCGAGGCAGACATGTTAAAGGACCCGCCAGCCAGACCACACTGTCACGGCGGGCCTGCATTTAGAACGCTGCCTTGGATCTCCCCCTCTGCCCACCTCTTCCCTAGAGATGGCCTGCCAGGTCTGGAGGGAAGCAGGAAGGTGGGGCCAGGCACCCAGTCACTCAGCAGACACCCCCCAGAGCACCACACGGACTGGGCCCTCAAACTGCAGATGGGTTAGCTCTGTCCTCAGGGAGCTCACAACTGAGTGGGGGAGACAGACCCATCGCCAGGCAGTGGGAACCCAGGATATAAACTCCCTGGGAGGGGAGGTACCAGGGGGTGGGCGAGTCTGGGAAGGCCTCCCGGAGGAGGTGACTCCTCGCTGGGCCTTGAAGGGTGAGTGGGAATTTTCCAGGTGGGAGGAGCCTTCCAGACCATGTGAACAATAGGTGCAAGGGCTCAGAGGCACGGGGTGGGTGAGTTCCGAGAGCTGGCCTTGGGCGTGGCGGGGATACAGGCCACAGAGGAGGATGCTGGGGGAAGCCAGGCAGACTCCCACGTGGCCTTGGATGCCAGGTTGAGGAGCCGGGACTTCATCCCGGGGCCAGCGGGCAGTGCTGGAACAGTGAGGTCCCAGAGAGAAGGCAGGGAAGGAGGTGCCCAGCCCCACTGCCCCAGGGACCCCTCACTCACGGTTGTCAAAGGGCTTGAAGTTCTGGGTCAGCACACTCGTCCACCTCTCCCCCTCCAGGCACCTCACGCTTATGTTCACGGTGTCTGCGGCGGTCAGTTTCTGGGCCTGCAGGCAAGGGGCAGAGGTGTTGCTGGGGCGGGGGGAGGGGGGAGGCCATTGGGATGAGGGCGGGGGGAGAGGGGGGATGCTGGAGGGGAGACCAAGACTGCAATGCAGGTGGGGCCCACCCCACGCCAGCACTAAGGTAGAGGTCGGCTAACTTTCTGATGCAAAGCATCAGGTAGTGAGTACTTTGGGCTTGGCAGGCCATATGGTCTCAGTTATAACTGCTCAACTCTCACACACATGGAAGAGAATGGGCGTGACTATGTGCCAATAAAACTTTATTGACAAAAACAGACAGCAGGCCGGGTTTGGCCCAGGGGCCACAGTGCATTGTCAACCCCTGCTCTAAAGCGAAGCGAGCTGCCTGGGGAGAGAGGGCATTCCCGGTCACAAGAGGTGGGCAAGCAGGATGGGTCCCCAAGAAGGGGCAGGGCTTTGAGTGTGAGAGCCTCCCCTCCCCATCTCCTTCCACCCCCGGCCCTGACTTTTCTGGAAGGAAATGGCCAGGCACTAAGCACTGCACAGGTGCTTTAGCCACTTCTCTGGCCTGTTCTCAAGCAGGCCACCCCCTCCTGCAGGTGAGAAACCGAGGCTCAGGTAAGTTAAGGGACTTCCCAATGTCACACGTCTGATCTGGTCTGCCGGGGAGCCCAGATTCGAACCCAGGCTCCGTCCACAGCTGCACAGAGGCCGAGCCCTGGCCCGCCACGCCTGACTGAGGGCTGCCGAGTGAGGCAGCCCCGCAGCCCTGCAGGAGGCAGCCCGCTGCAGGCACCCTGAGGGTCTGCGCTCTGGGGTCCGGGGGCTGTGTGTATGCCCAGGACCCAGGCAGTCTCCCTGGCCTGATGCAGGGCCACTAGGAGCAAACCATGAACCTGATCATCAGCGTTCCCAGAGCTGGGAACTCCTCCCTCTGCCCAACAACCCTGCCCTAGCCTTCTTCCAGCTCCTATGGGGGCCAGGTTGCCCCAGGTAACATTAGTATTATCATTAGTGCGCGGGATTCATTCATGGTGGGGGGTGTGGCCTGCAGGATCGCCATCTGAGCGGCTGTTCCTGCTGCGAGAGCAGCCGCTCATCCTGGTCAGCCCAGCGGTGCTTCCACCGTGGGAGCGCACTGACCACCAGGGGGCAGCTCCTGCATTGAGCGTCTGCCCCCTGGTGATCACTGCCCGTCATAGTGACTGGTCAACCCATCGTTCTGGTCGTTCCACCATTGGGTCGCTGGGCTTTTTTATATAGGATTTCTACTAGAGGCCCCATGCATGAACTCGTGCACATTGAAAGGAAATTAATTAGAAGAAATATCTTAGAGGCTGGGGAGGGACCATATGAGGTTGGCTCCAGGGTGTGTCTGACCCATCTCACCTAGTCCCCATTGGGGCGATTGGAGCCGGGGAAGGACTGCAGGAAGGCTCCAGGGCATGTCCAGCCTGTCTTGCCCAGTCCGATCGGAGCAATCCAGGCCGATTTGGGCTAGCCAGGCAGGGGAGAGACCGGGAGGTTGGCCTGCCGGTGGAGGGATTGAGGGAAGGCTCCAGGGTGTGTCCAGACTACTCCCCTTCCATCAGACCCCAGCAGCAAACTAACCTACTGGTCCGAGCCTCTGCCCCCTGGTGATCACTGCACGTCATAGAGACTGGTTGAACGGTTGACTGAATGAAAGGTCGACCGATTGGCCGGACACCTGGCATGTTAGGCTTTTCTAAAGAGAAATTATTGTTGTTGTGGATGCCAATGATGCATTCCGAGTACTCCGCCTGTGGCAGGCATTCCTCTAAGCATTTGTGCGTGTTGCCTCGCTTGGTTTTCTCAGCATCCTTGAGGCAGGCACTATTGCTATCCTCGTCCTGCTGCTTTCCAGACTGGAGCACAGAGAGGCCTAGGGATTTGCCTGAGGCCACACAGTCAGGAAAGCCACACTGCTGGGGGGACCAGGACCTGAGGCCAGGCCCCCGCAGAGCTCACGAGAATGCATATACCTTGGTGGTGGTTGAGAAAGGTAGTCTGGGCGTCCCTGGTGCCCGCCACTGCCAAGGAAGCTTTGCCAGGCAATTATTTGCTGAGCATGCACCCACATGGGCACAACCCATGTCCTTCCAGAGACAGCCTAGTGCCATGGTGAGAGGTCCAGGCTGGGGTCTGTCAGGCCTGGGTGCAACCCCAGCTCTGCCACTCACTCAGGCCCACGAACAGTCGTGTCAAGAGCGGGATCTACTCTGAGTGGCGTTGCAAGCGTTTTATGCTCAGACCAGCCCTGTCATTCCCATTGTCCTCCAAGATTTACGGGAGGGAAACTGGGCACGAAAGCCACCCAGTGTCACCCAGCTGGTGCACAGCGGAGCCAGGGCCGGAGCCCAGACTGTCCAGCTCCAGAACCCACACACCAGACCCCACACCCCCTGCACTTGGGAAGACCTCGGTAAGAGTAGGGTGTGTGTATTACTGTTCCTGGGTGCTCTCCCCGCTTGATGAGGCGTGCGGGAGTGCAGGGGAGCCACCAGCACGGGGAAGGCTGCGGGAGCAGAGCGTGTGAGCTCACGTACCGGGAATCCATCACCCCGGGTCCGGCCTGCGTTCCGGCCTTCGGACGCGGCCCTCCTTCCTTCTGCCGCCCCAGCCCGCCCCGGGCATCCCGCTCCACCCACGCTGGCTGGCCACGGGGCTTGCTGGGCCCCAGCTCGTCTCTGGAAGGACACCCCTCGGCACCCATCCTCCCCCTGGTCCTCTCCCCTCGGTGATAGACACTCACATTTCGGGGTCCCAGGATCAGGTTGCAGGACCAGGATGCCGGGCCCGTGGGGAGCAGCTCACAGGATTCGTTCCAGGGTCTTTCGAGGCAAAAGGACTGCTTAGAAGATGCTCTACGGCCGTGGTTCTCAGCCTCTCTAATGCCGCTGCCTTCTCATACAGCTCCTCGTGTTGTGGTGACCCCCAACCATAACATTATTTTCGTTGCTACTTCATAACTGTAATTTTGGTAGTTATGAATCGTAATGTAAATATCCGTGTTTTCCGATGGTCTTAGGTGACCCTGCTAGCGGTTCTCAACCTGTGGGTCGCGACAGAGCCTAAGACCATCGGAAAACACGGATATTTACATCACGATCCATAACAGTAGCAAAATGACAGTTACGAGGTAGCAACGAAGATAACTTTATGGTTGGGGGTCACCACAACCCAAGGAGCTGTATGAAAGGGTCGCGGCATTAGAGAGGCTGAGAACCACTGCTCTGTGGAACCTCACAAAGTGCCCGTTCCCGAATCTGCCCTCCGTCCCTCATGGCACCTCTGCGGCCCTCCCACCCCCACCTCGCCCCCAGCAGCAGCGCAATTCAGACCAGCCTGTTCGGACCCCTGGCCTCCGCACCAAAGGCCCGCAGTGGTCTCTGGGGCCTGACGGGGCCTCACGGACCCCACCCACAGGAGCCTCTGCTGCTGTCAGCATGCTGCGTGCATCCTGCAATCCCTTCACAGCCCCCACCCCTAGCTCCCCATCACCCCCGTCTGCTCCTCCAAATCCCAGGTTCCTCCCGACGCTTGGGGAGCTCCCTCTCCTCCCCCCTCTCCGCTAAAGTCAAGTCCAGCCTCAGTAGAGAAGCCCAAAGCCCCATGCCCCCAGTCTACCCTGTCCAGCTCATCGCCAGCCTGACACACACACACACACCCCTCCACCCAGGCTCCCGTTAGGACTCCGGAGTGGGAGCGTCAGTGACGGTAAGATCCCGCCGTCCGGGCGTCTGCGGGGTGGCCAGCGACCCCACTCACCGATTGTCGGGCCGGGCGTGGACGTGGCAGGAGGAGGCCTGCGGGCCCCCGTCCCGGCTCCACACGCAGGAGATGTTGGCCCTCGAGTTGTAGAAGCAGGTGAGCGCAGACGTGTCTGCCAGCAAGAGGAGGCGTGAGTGCTGGCTGCAGGGGCCACTGCCGGCCCTCGGCGTCCCCCCGCCACCCCCGCTTCGGGCCTCAGGCTACCAGCTGAGAAGCTAAGCAACCCTGGCGGGCGGAGAAGGGGTGAGCGGCCCACGTCCGCGAGGACAAAACTGAGCCCCAGAGGCTGCAGGGCTGAGGCGGGACTGGGATGAGACGCCAGCGTCTCCTATGGTTCAGAGGGGCATGTGGGGGCAGTGGGGGCAGGACAGAGGGGGGAAGGGGAAGGGGGTCCCATGGTGCCTGCCTGCCTGCCTTCTCCCTCCTCCTGCCCTTGATGGTGGCCCTTCTACCAAGAAGCAGGGCCCACCACCCAGAAGGCCCTTGGCCTCCTTCCGGAAGGAGGGCACCGCTGTCCAGACGCCAGGATCCTCACCGTTCGCCGCTGTGGACGCCAGAGGGATGGCCAGGGCCAGGAGGAAGGCGAGGAGGGACAGGCGCCAGGTCAGAGCAGGAGCCGCCATCACATCCACAGGTGGGGGCCGGGGAAGGGAGCCCTGGAGGGAGGAAGAGGGGAGGGAGCGCCGTGAGCACCCGCCCTGCCCGCCACCACCCACCCTGCCCGCTGCCACCAGCCCTGTCCAGCCTCTCGGCCTTTGCGCCTGCTGTTCCCTCTGCCCACACATGCGTATCCCTTCAGAGCCAGGGACCCGCACGTCGTCATTGCTGAAAGGGCTTCTGGGTAAGCCCAGCCCCTTGTTCAAAATGGGGAAACTGAGGCCCAGAAACAGGAGCGGCATGCTCATGCCCACCTGGGAGGCCAGCACAGCTGGGGTCAGAGCCCACCCCCTTCCCCACCCGGCCGCCTCCTAAACCACATGACACCACTTGTCCAGGCGTTCCTGCGTGCCAGGCTCCGTGTGAAGCTTTAAAAGCAGCAGTAAGAGCATCGGAGATACCGGTATGATCCCCGTTTTCAGAGGAGGAAACGGAGGCACAGAGACGTGAGTTTTCCCAAGGCCGCCGGCTGCTAAGAGGCAGATGTGGGTCTGCGCGAGGGCGGACTCCCCGGAGCCCAGCAGGGCCCCTCCTGTCACTGCTCTGAGTCTATCTCCCACTCCAGGTCATTAACCCGCCCAAGGTCACGTGCACGGAAGAGGCCGAGCTGGGATCCAATCCCCGCACCCCATCCCCAGGCCCGTCTCTCACGTCGTTCCACCCTGCCCAGCCCGTCCCAGACACTGGCCCCAGAGGTAAGGCCAATAGCCCCCTGCCTCGGGGCGGCACGGACCGGCTGCGGCCTCTGGCCTGAGGTGGGAAGGAGCTCAGAGAAGTTCGTGGGCTCCTCCGTGCACGGCCCCTTCCCCCCAAAGGGTGAGCTCCCCTGGGTGGGGTTGTCACTTCTTTCTTTGGACCCTCCACATATTACGGGGCACGGGATTGGGACTCCAAAGGGTGCAGAGCCCAGCACAAGGCTCTCCGGGCAAGCCCCACTGTTCCCCTTAGTCACTACACCACGCCCCTGGGGCACAGGTGCCCCCTAGGGGTGTCAGCAGGCAGCCCTGCCCTGGACGGGACCTGGTACGAAGCCCCAGGTGAGAGGAGGTGGCAGAGGCCTGGGAGAGCACAGGAAGGCCGTGCAGGCCACGGTGTCAGCAAGACGCGCCTGGGCAGGGAGAGTACCGTCTGAGTCCCCGCCCTGGCCGGAGGGCGCAGGGCATATCAAGGCGCACAGGGCCTGGGGGAAGGACGGAGCCAGGACAGACAGACAGGAGAGTGTGGGTGCCGGGGTGGGGGCGGGGGCTCCTAGCGGGCTCTGAGGCTGCGCCATCCTCAGAGGAGGAAGCCGAGGCTCAGGCAAGAACCTGCTCTAGATCACAGAGCACGGAGGAGGCCCAGCTCAGGGAGGAGGAGGCAGACTCGGAGCCCAGGCTGCTCTGTCCGGGCTTCCCGCACACCCGCCCGCACCTCCCGGGGCCACCGCCACCCCGAGGCAGGCATCACGGGCACCGGCCGGTAGACACCAGCCAAGGCTGAGGCACAGAGCTGCCCCAGGGACTGACCCAACGCGTCTGATTCAAGTCAGAAGATGCAGATAACGATGGCGGTGACAACGGGAGGATGAGGACGAGGATGAGGAGGTGACTAATGCTCGGTGCCCGGCACTGCCGTCAGCTGTGACCTCATTCACCTCTGAGCAGCTCCCCTTATGACTGAGTCCCTTCCCCAGACGGGGACGGAGGCACATGTCAGAGGCCCAGGTCTGAGCCCAGTCGGGACAGTGGAGGCTCCAACGGGCAGAGACGGTGAGAATGGAAGCAGCAGTTCAGGAGCCAGAGATGAGTCCCATTGACCCCGTACCCTCTGACCCCTCCCCTCCCCCCCCCACACACACTCGGGGCTCACTCTCGCTGTTTCCCTCTGGAGGGCATCTCCCTAGGGGATCCTGACTGTGGGGGAAGGAAGGGCACCTAGGGATGGCTCTGTCCCACAGCAGCCCCATCCCCACCGCACCCCAAACACCGTTAAGGGCGGGAGGCCTCAGCCCCAGGAGAGGAGAGAGAGCGTGCTCTTCCGACAGCCCCATCCCTCCAGTATTGCCCGGAGACACCTCCAACCCGCCGGCCACACAGCCAAGTGAGGGACCCATCAGGACCCGAACCCGATACCTCCCGGCACCCCCACTTCCCAGACTCTCACCCCACAGCCTCCTCAGCGGGACACTATAGGGTGGGCCTCGCCAGGATGAGCCCCTTCCCCGTGACCTTGACCTCGAGCCCCCAGGCTGGTGGCAGGGACCCCCACGGGAGCTCCCGGTACCTGGGGACCGCCCGGCAGGGTGCGGGCGAAGGGGCACCTCACCTGGCTGCGGCATGGGGCTGCGGCGGCCGGCGCTCTCCGCTCCCCTCGGTCGCTGAGACCACAGCCATCTCCCCCCGCTCCTCTCTGAGGACTCAGGTAGTGACTGCTGGGGGCAGCTGGCTGAGATCCCAGGGCCGGCCCACTTCCTGCCAGAGGCTGGAGGGGCAAGGCCCGGGGGCGGGAGGGGGGGGGGGGGGGGCGGGGAGCTGGCTGCTGAGAAAGCCTGAAACTCCTAGGCACCCAGGCGATAAGATCTCCCTCCCCCGCGGGGCGGGGCTGGCAGGCCCTGTGGCGGGCATACACACTCTCTCAAATAGACAGAAGCCCGAGGGGCTGCGCCCTCTGTCCCTCCCCCACCACCTCCACCCCAGCCCACACAGGCCACCTCAAGCCTCTGACGCCCCATCCAGTCACACATACCACCCCCCCCCCACACACACACACACACAACACCCAGGCCGCACACAAACGGGCCCCTTAGGCCCCTGCGATTCTCACCGTCACCAAGCCCGCCTCTCGGAGACCCCCCTTCCCACTCCGGTTCCAGGCCCCTTAGCACTCAGAGGTAGCTGCATGTTGGGGGCTTTGCGGACCATTGGATGGCCACTTATTTTTTTAAATATATATATATATATTTTATTGATTTTTCACAGAGAGGAAGGGAGAGGGATAGAAAGTTAGAAACATCGATGCAAGAGAAACATTGATCAGCTGCCTCCTGCACACCCCCCATTGGGGATGTGCCCGCAACCAAGGTGCATGCCCTTGACCGGAATCGAACCTGGGACCTTTCAGCCCGCAGGTGATGGCTACGTATGGAACATTCTAGAACCTTCCTCTTTCTCTTTTATTGGGGGGAGATGGGGTCAGCTCAGGGCTTTTTGGAAACGATGAAAACGCATATGGACCCCTCTTTAGAAAAGTGCACGTTTACGTCTGTGGGGTGTCCCCGGCCCCAGGACCCTGGAAGCTGCGGCCAGTATCCTAAAGAGGCAGCTCAGACCCCAGCCGGGCGGCGGCTCCATTGGTTGGAGCGTTGTCCCAAGTTGCTAAGGTCAGGGGTTCGATCCCCAGCCGTGGAGCAAACAAGAATCAACCTATGAATGCATACATAACTGGAACAGCAAATGGACGCCCTCAACTCTCTCTCTCAAATTAATAAATACAATGTAAAAAAAAATAAATGTTAGAGAAGCAGCTCTATTCTCTCCCTTTGTCCTGATGTTAACGGCCCTGCTGGTAAGCAGATGTCTCTTTCCAAGACGGGTCCAAGGTGGGCAGGAGGTGGGCGGGGAGGGCAGGTCTGCACAGAAGCAAGAAAGCAAATGAAAGAAACCAAGAGAGAATTGGGCCGACCCCCTCCAGCCATGCTGCCAGGAAGATGATTCACGCTGCTGGGAGACTGATTCACCGGGTGAAGGGCTCACAGGTCCTGCAGGCACGTCCAGAGGGCTCGCCGGGCCGACCCCAGGCAGCAGACTGCAATACAGGCCAGTTCCTCCCCACCCACCCCATCCCGCCCCACTCCACCCCACCCAGCCCCTTAGCAAGGTGTCCTGGCTGCCAGAGAAGGCGATAACACAGTTGCCACACAGATGAGAAAACTAGCCAACACGTATTTCTGGAAGCTTCTCAGGAGACCAGGAACCCTAGCTCTCCTGGGAAAGAAAGCCAGGTGAGGAGGGGGTAGAGAGGCTGTTTTTACCCTAGACCCTTTATACCACATAACCTATTTCCTGCCCCAAAGTACGCGAATTGAGTTAAAACCTAAAAACAGCCCTCGCCGATTTGGCTTAGTGGTTAGAGTATTGGCCCGAGGACCGAAATGTCATGGGTTTGATGCCTGGTCAAGAGCACGTATTTGGTTGCAGGCTCAGTTCCCGGCCCCGGTCAGGGCCTGCGCGGGAGGCCACGATGAATGATGTGTCTCTCTCACGTCGATGTTTCTCTCTCTCCCCTTTCCCCCTCCCTTCCCCTCTCTCTAAAGATGAATGGGAAGCTCTAGCCCAGTGGTAGGCAGGCAAACTCTGTTGACTAATGAGTTTGCCGACCACTGTCAAATACTACCCTTTACCTCTGTGCACACAATATGCCACAATTGCCTAATCCTCAGGTTCCAAATACACGGTAACATTTAGTCTACAACCGTAGGCAAACTCATTAGTCAACAGAGTGGCAAACTGCCCTAGCCAGTTTGGCTTAGTGGATAGAGTGTCGGCCTGCAGACTGAAGGGTCACAGGTTTGATTCTCATCAAGGGCATGTGACTGGCACAGATTCCCCCCCCCCCCGCCCCCTGGTGAGCAGCACGCGGCCCACAGTAGAACCAGGAGAGGGGAGGGAGGTGTCTCCAAACAGCCAGACGCCCTGATGGGGCAGAGGGGTTGCGGGGGGGAAGGGGGGTATGTGTCACATGAGGCTGTTTGCACTACAGCCAGGATGGGGGCAGCCCCACGCTCTTCATCCCACGCAGGCCCCATGGATCTTGCTTTGACCAAGGGGCTCAGCCAGAACATCTCACGGGGGCTGCACTGAGCCACAAGGACCTCGACACTGCACTGTGTCCCTATCCTCCACCTGGGCCTTGGCTGTGGGGCCGCATCAGAGGGGGCGCATCGGAGAGAAGATGGAGTCCATCTCCCAGACTCCCTTGCGGTTAAAGGGGCCATGAACGGAGTCTGACCTGCGGGATGGGGTGGAAGTGATTTAGTTTCCTTCCAGGCTGGACACCCTCTCCTTTGACCCTGCCCCGTCTCTCAATCTCTCCTTCTCTGCCCCCTCCCCACCCTTCTCTCTGCCTCCCGCTTCCCCCTCCCCGTTGAGAATCCGCTGGAGCGACGGGAAGCGGACAGGCCACACTGGCTGTGACATCATCAAGAACAGACGCCTACGCTGTGGGGCCCAGGTGTGGAGGCTCAGCAGCCGGTGGTGCCAGCTGACTGGGACAGAGGTGCCCAGGTTAGGGGTGAGAGGGCGTGCCAGGCGCAGGCCCTGGGCCCCGTGGTGAGCAGGTGCACAGAGAAGAGCAAGAGCTTTAGGCAGCCCCACCCACCCACCCCTGTCGTAGCTGCCACCACCCCTTCTCCCCCCCCCCCCCCCAGGTCCTCAGTGACCCCGTGACCGGCTCCCGCCTTCCCCTCACGACCCCTCCCCTCTGTTCTCCACTCAGCCGCCAGAACAGTCTTTCCCAAACCAGCTCAGGCCATTTCCCTGCACCTTTCAAACCTTCCCGATTCCCCGAGCGCCCATAATGAAACCTCCGCTCTTCGTCCCAGCCTCCCAGTCCGCAGAGCGGCCCTGCGTCACCTCGGACGCTCCGGCGGCCGCTCGGGCCTTGCTGAAGGTGGGCAGACACCCCCAGCTCCCCTGCCGGCTTTTCACAGGCGGATCCCTGCCCCGAGGGCTCCGCACACAGCAGCCCCATCCTCACGTCGTACAGGCCTCCAGCGGGAATGAGACAGCAGGATTGGCACTGGGGCCTGTTTGCCAGAGCACCGGGTCTCTCCGAGGTCACTGCAGAGGGACCCAGAAGCTTCTCTGATGGCAGGAGCCTGAGAGAGTCCGCCAGGCCTGCCCAGACTGTTGTCTCAGGAGCTCAGAGGAGGGGAGCAGGAGGGCGAAACACACACACACACACACACAGCCTCCTCCACGGGCTCCTCCCTCCCAGCGCCCAAACCACCCAGTGCATCTGACCTTCATTCCATTACTATTTTTAAAAATATATTTTTATTGATTTCAGAGAGGAAGGGAGAGGGAGAGAGAAGCATCCATGATGAGAAAAAAATCACTGATTGGCTGCACACCCTCTACTTGGGGATCAAACCTGCAACCCAGGCCCATACCCTTGACCTGAATCGAACCCACGACCCTCCTGTTAGAGGGCCAGCCCCCTAACCCTTGAGCCAAACTGGCTAGGGCGCCTTCATTCCTTTATCTGCCTCTCCTGCCTCCTCGCCGCCCCCACAGCCACCCCCTCTGTGTCCTTACAGCCCCCGCTTTGGGCACCAACCTCCGTGCACCCCAGCTTCCGAGGACACAGCCCCAGCCTCTCCGCCGCCCCGAACCCAGCCCCACCAGGGACCCCACTTTCATCGGTGCCGCAGGGACTGCGGGCTCCCTGTCCTGCCCTGACCACGACTTTTCCACTTGTCCATCACAGGGCTGCCTCTTTCGGGGGTCAAGTCAGACCCTGCTCCCTCCTCAGCCCTGGCACCTCCCTCCCCACCCCCTCCTCACCACTGCGCGTGTCTACACCGGTTCCCGAGAGCAGGACGTGTGCGATGCATTCGGCGCCTAGGAAATTCCGACGTAGAGACGGCGCCCGGATGCAGGGGTGGAAGGGATAAAGGAGAAGAGAAAGAATCCAAGGCCCCGAAGCTCTAACGCCCGAGAGCAGCGACTGTCAGCCTTCTTCACCTGGTGGCACCCGTACACGAGCGACTCAAATCCCGCGGCTCGCCGGGAAGTGTCTTTTATCCCACAAAGAAGGCGCATAATTTTGATTCGTTCACAGCAGACGGCGTTGTGTTGGCTGTTGTCATCTTTCTATTCGACAATGTGAGAGAAAGGGGGTCCGTGTCCCTGGCTAGATAGCCGGGTATTGCAGGTTTCAAAAGCACCCCTCTCTGCCTTGTAACGTTCCGGGAGAAGGTGAAACAGCCCCGGGAATAATGTGTTTGAAGTGTGGGCTGGTCTGTCACCAATCATGCCCTGAGCAGGCTTGCCACCTCGCCGGAGTGCGCTCGGCGGTGCCACCGCTCCGAGAGGCAGTTCGACAGCCTCGACGGGCATCTCGGCACCCGCCCCGGGTCCCGTGCCACCGCACAGACCCGCCTGCAGAGAAACGCGTGCTGGGGCAGGAAGCGCGTGAGCCGGGAATTAACACAGCGGCCAGACTGGAGGCAGCTACATGTGCATCCTGACCTAGCTGGTGTGGCTCAGTGGATAGAGCATCAGGTGGGCTGAAGGGGTCCCGAGTCCTATTCTAGTCAAGGGCACGTACCAGTTGCTGCTTGATCTCCATCCCTGACCCAGAGTCAACCAATGGGAGGCAACCAATCAATCTGTCTCTCTCACATGGATGCTTCTCTGTCTCTCCCCCTCCTTTCCATTCTTTC